ACAGCTTCATTCAGCAACCAAAGGTGGATCTTTGAGACTGACGACCTTTGGCCAATGAGGAGTGAGCAGCCTCGGTTCGCCTTGCTTCGACAGCCGCCGCTAACGATCCGTCACATTTCCCTCCTCCACTTCTTCAAACTCCACGCTCATTAGCCTCGCAAACATGGCAGACTTCGACACTGCCGGTCACGCATTCCTGACATGGCTCCAACAATCCGGAGCTGATATCAGTCCGAAGATCAAGCTCGAAGACCTTCGACACGCGCAAGCTGGACGAGGTGTCGGTAAGTGACTATCTCCTGTCATTTGTAGGAGATCGCAGTCGAGTGGACTTGCTGCTCTCCTTTACACTTCGCCATGCAGCTTTTGGAGAACTTCGTTTCTGACTTGTGTCAGTCGCTACACAAGACGTCGCCGAGCACGAGCTCCTCTTCCGCATTCCCCGCTCGGCAATTCTCAGCGTCGAGAACTCAATCCTGTCCAAAGAAATCCCCACCGCCACATTTGACACACTTGGCCCATGGCTGTCTTTGATTCTTGTAATGCTCTACGAGTACTTCAACGCCGATGCATCCAACTGGGCGGCGTATTTCTCGGTTCTGCCCTCCGAATTCGAAACACTCATGTACTGGGACGAGGACGAACTCGCCGAATTGCAGGCGAGTGCTGTCGTGAACAAGATTGGAAAAGATAGTGCCAACGAGATGTTCTTGGAGCAGCTGATTCCAGTCATTAAAGAATTTGCACCAATTTTCTTCGCGGACGATGAGCGAGCGCCACAACGAGCGGAGGAGATGCGTGACGAGCGTAACCTCACTCTGATGCATCGAATGGGCTCGCTCATCATGGCATACGCCTTCGACGTCGAACCATCGATCTCGCGGAAAGACGTCGACGAGGAGGGTTATGCTTCCGAAGATGAGGACGAGGCACTTCCAAAGGGAATGGTTCCCTTAGCGGATATGCTGAATGCTGATGCGGATCGAAACAACGCACGACTCTTCTACGAAGCTAACTCTCTCGACATGAAGGCCCTCAAGCCGATACACGCCGGCGAAGAGATTTTCAATGACTACGGGCCTCTACCACGCTCTGACTTGCTGCGCCGCTATGGCTACATCACCAACAAATACGCCCAGTACGATGTTGCAGAGATTTCTATGGATCTTGTCATTGATCTCGCCACAGCAGCTGGTATTTTCAATGAGGACAGGATTGCATACTTGGACGAACAAGAAATTATCGACACAGGCTATGACATCACCGTCAGCGACCCTTTCTCACTACAGGTGAGCCTATCTCCAGAGCTTGTCGTTGTAGTGGAGAGTCTTCTGCTACCACCTGAGGAGTTCGACCGACTTCAAAAGAGGGGCAAGCTACCCAAGCCGGAAAAGATGACCACTAAAGGCATTGAGTTCCTCCATAGACTCGTACAAACCCGCCTTTCACAGTATGCCACGAGTTTGGAACACGACAATATCTCATTCGACGGAGTACCAAGCATTGGCGGACAGACTTCCAAGGAGCGGCGCTACGCTATGGCCAAGGCAGTGCGAATAGGAGAAAAGAGACTGCTGAAGCAAGTCGAAGAAGCCCTCACTGAGAAGATGTCGAGAGACAGGGGTATATCAAAAAGGCAAAGAGAGGTAGACGAAGAAGGTGATGTGGAAATGGGGGGCACTGGAAAAAAGCAAAGATCCTAATACTTCCGCCTTGAACGATCTGTTCTTCGAACGATAAATTGCGGGAATGGCGATGTGCATTGATATGGTAAGTTTTGTATTGTTTTTTAGGCGCTCAAGTCCATGCTTGGCCACCCAGCTTTACAGGTATCATACATATCCAAGAATGACCGGCACGGATCGCTAACCAATGTTCAGACACGACCTCCAACCTTCTCGACTCCCTGTCCCTGGTCGCCAAGTACTGTACATATCTTTGGTAGATCCCTCCTGGACCTCCTCGCCAATAAAAATCAAAGGGTATAATCGCCACGAGCCAACGTATTTTTGTCAAAAAGCTTCTGTAAGGAAAAGGCTACGATCCCGAGCTAGGACCAGCCGCAGCCGTTGGCGGCATCAGGTGACCAGACGCAGATCGGTTGTTGTTTTCGATCGACTTCCGCGCCGCGCCTGCTACTTGCTGCGCATGCTGCTTCTCACCTTGCCGCTCGATCATGATACGATACCGTATGTGCAGATTGTCTGTCCAATCGACAGGATACGTCTGTTCATCCTCACTACTGTCTCCGGAATACTTCCATCGATCCGCGATACGCTCGTCCAGTTGGCTACTTTCTAGCTTTTGGCGTTTGACACCACGCCGGTCGATCATTACACGCCCACCTCGCCCGATTCTTCTTCGGTAACGAGATTGGTCTTGGAATGGGACATCATCTGGAGGCGAACCGAAACGTATTCGCGCACTTCGACGCGGCGTGTCCTGAGGGTTCGCACGTACTACCGCCATGGAGTCAGCACCTTCATCGTCAGAAACAGAGGCTGGTGGAGTGGGCAGCTGCGATTCTGTGAAGACCGTACGGAAATCTGATTTCGCAGCAGCCTGCTCCAGTGGTGGTGTGATGGGCCGCCATGTAGCATCGACCCAACCAACGTTCCACTTCTGGTGCTTGACCAAGTTATCTTCGATGAAGGTATCGATGGCTTCTGTCTTCTTCGCCTGCTGCTCCTCGAGATATACTAGGTCACTATCGACAAGACGCCCATCTGCACGAGTGACCTGAGGTTTCATGCCAGGGATATTCTGGCGAACTCTCTCCAGATCTGGTCTTGGCTTCGGCTTCGGCGCAGGCTAGAAAGTGTCAGCCGTATCCTGACTATATTCTCTGGACTTCTAAAACATACCTTCTGGGTAATCAAGAGTTCTTCATCATCAGCCTTGATGCTGAGGCGTCTCTTGATTTCCTTCACAGCGTGTCGCTGCTCAAAGACCTGCTTGTCATTCGCGAGCGAATCTCTAATCAGTGCCTCTCGTCGCTTGACCTGAGCCATTAGGAATCTAGCTTGTTCAAGCTCATTTCGCAGCTTCTTCAACTTCTCGGTCACTTGGGCATCGCGACCTCGCGTCTTTCGAACTTGCCGTACTTCGCGACGTCTGAAACAGACGTATGGATCTGCCTCGTCCGTCTCGAGATTGGTCTCGAATTTCAACGACGGTAGTAACGGTCGGTTACCCTTCAGTAACCTCTGGTTCTTCCAGTGCGAGTAAATGTCCTTGGCAAATCTGCGTGCGGCTTCACCGATTGTCTCGTCGAAGTCTGATTCGAAGTCCTCGTACGCAAGCACAGGGGCATCACCGACGGCAGAAAAAGGCTGTTTGGTTTGAGCAGTCTCCTCAAAAAAGTTCATAACTTCTTCGAACTCGTCCTCAGAACAATGGGGGCCTTTGGCCTTCTTCTGATTGTACTCCTTGAGAAACGCGGCATCATCACTGGTCATGCAATACGGGCATCCTGAGGTATCTTCCACTGTGGAAGAGAATCGGATATAGGTTGCAGGCTGTGTGAAGTGCTTTGGATACAACTCATCGTACTGCAGATGACTGGCAGTTGCTTCTGGTGTCGGGATGTACAGCTGAGCAATCTTGCCGCCAGTAGCTCCCTGGGCTGCTGCCTGCGCCGCAGAGATCACGGCTTGCAAGTGATGCTCCTGTTAACATGGTCAGTAATTGTGAAGTTCGATCTGTACAACAGAGGTAGGTGTCTACAACAGCCCGCGATATGACAAATAATGTGCAAGGTGAGTATAAGACCATAGTTCGGGGCGCATGTCGAGAGAGTGAATGCCCAAAACGGTTAGTGGGTAGACTTACAATTTCCTCTCCCTTCTCAACACCAGTCTCTACCTTGGGAATATGGCGCGACGCCTCATCATCATCGAGCTTTTCAACCTCATGCTCGCGCAATACAGGTATGTTCTGCTTGGTTGATAACTTGCGCTGTCGAAAGCGCTGGCCAGTTACGCGCTGCGTCATCTTGCTTCAGCCCTGCGTTGGGTTCGCTCGACCCGGCACGTGACCGGCGCAGACTCTGCCGGGTAGCCCTTTCGGCCAGGTGGCCTCTCGGCCTGCGCAGTGCTGTTTCGCGACAAAAACGCGTCGCAATAATGTTAATATGGGTGTCAAATTACTCGTAGAATCCAGCGCATCCGTTTCCGAGATGCTTGTGATGGACTTTGATGGTTGTGGGTGCGTTTCGGCGTGTGAAGGGTTCGATGGGGTGCGTGATAAGCAGTTGTTGGAGTTGCGAGGGGCGCGCGCAACATGGGGCAGCTTTGCGCGAAAACCCTGGGAAGGTGCCGACCAATCACAGTACGCGGTTGGCCGCATTCAGAACGAAATAGTCATATTTTATGCTCTTGGGAGATGTGTAGTGCAATTTGATTTCACCGTCTATTAGTCTTTACTATTGTGATCGTCATGAATCTGTAGTCTGCACTTTAATGTTCGTTCTGCGGGTGTTTTCTGGATTTCACCGTGATCAACCACGGTTGAACCGTGACAAAAGCAGAAGTCGCTAAGCTGTAAAAGGATGTAGTATAATGCAATGATCTTCGTTAGCATGACGCGCGCTGCCAGAACCTAACGTCTATCTCCATCTGCATGTTGAGGTTTTCTGCGCCAGTTCATCTTCCGTGTTGACGTGAAAACCTCATTCATACGAAACAGAGCAAAAATTCTGATTACGTCCAACTGTCTCTCACACATCGTTCGTGGCCGCCGGTACGCTGCTCAAGTATGTTGCGAATGTCAGGAAGGCATGCTACACCTACGTGAAAAAGAGAGCCATTGCTCAAGACTTTGCGGCAACGGAACTGTCTGGATAGTGAAAGAGATAGTGAAAATGTTTGAACAGCCAAGTATTTGCCTGGAATTGTATATGAAGAAGACTTGTGTCAAGCCAACTCAGCAACCTCTCCTTCAGATTCTGTCTACGCAAGACCATTCACACTAGCAACAGAGAAACGCCAAAAATATTCGTACTCCCCCGGGAAGGATCGAACTTCCAATCTCCCGATGTGCCTATAAGTAACAGTCGGACGCCTTAGCCATTAGGCCACGGAGGATTTGAGCTTGCAACTAAGTTCAGGTTAGTTGAAGCGATTGAGTTGGTTGTTTTGATGACAAATCGCAAAAAATGGTATACTCATATCCACAACACCAGACGGGTGAAAATTAGAGGTGTCAGTCGGTAGTAAGAATGTATGTCTGGTGTTCGTGCTAACTGTGCCTACGAGTCTCTGTACATGCTCTCGGCGTGTGCAATTCGTGACTTGGGTTTCAAAAGTGTTGTTACAGGAATGACTGGTAAGGCCTGGAATTTCATTTAAGATGCGCAGCATATTCAAGTCCCTGGTAACGACATCGACACTCTGGACAAGCTTTTAAGACATCAAGCTTACGATGCCTGAAGCAAGACTTAGGCTGAAGAACGAGAAGAATATTCAAACATCACCTGCGCCCACAGTTTGTGTCCTGGCGCGTGTCGAAAAGCATCGTAGCCGTTTGAGAAGCGCTCGGCTACTGTTATTGAGGATGGTAGGAGCTTCGGCGAACACTAGATAAGATGTAGGAAGGGAAGACGATACTGTTTGTGTTAAGTGGCACTTCACCGTACATACACCAGGGGCTTCACATGCTGAGGGGCTACAATAGAAGCAACGGGTTTCGTTGTGCAGATTTGATCACATCTCTCCCCTGCTCCAGTTACAGTGCCCACTCTTCCTTGTCGTCAGTCGCATTTATGAAGGGTTCATCGATGAGCTTGACTGCTAATTCACTGCAGAGCACACTGACGATCTGTTAGCTTTTCTTCTATCCTGGTTCGCATCGTAATAGTTGTACTTACCAAGACGATCCTACAAGTGCGTCCAGCTCCCTAATGGCCTTCTCCCGTTTTGCACCTGTACTCGTTCCCTTGCTGACATCTAGCTGCAACTCCGCAATCCGTTTGCCTCGCGCGATACCGGCAAGCTCGACGACCCTCTTCGCCAAACAATCGCTGTGAAAAGCGTGCTGACACGGGAACACGAAGAACTGTCTAGCGAGCAGCGGAAGTCCACAAATGTAGCAGCGCTCACCAGGTTCCACAATAGCGTATCGCTGATCCAACGCTTTGATATCGCTTTTAATATGCTGGGCCGTTTCCTCGGAGTCATCCATTTCCCTCTTCAGCTCGTCAATCTTGCGGCTGTAGTCCTCGAGCGCGGTACATATTTCCTCCTTGAAATCGTCGATGACTACAAAGTCTGGAAAGAACGGAATCAAGTCTTCAATACGGAGGAGGTCTACACGGCGCAAGAACTCGATTGCAGTCTTGATGCCTGAAGATTGCGAGATGACTTTCTTGGCGATAGCGAGCCACAGCTTTTTACGCAAGGCCGGCTCGGTATTGGAACGGTCAGCCACGTTGCTGGCGAGGTCGACTTCATCGTACTTGAGGGCAAGATCAACAGCTTGCACGTACTGACCCATCGAGCTGTAGATGTGCACGCAGGACTGCACACGTTTATGTTGAATGCAGAGTCGCAGAGCAAAATCAGCATCATAGTTCTGCTCGTGCGCAAGCGATTGCCCTTCCAAATATGCGAGCAGCGCTGATTCGTCGGTCGTTGAGTGTGAAGCATAAATCGAGATGAGAGTGTTATGTACCGCGGCGTCAGTCGACTGACGTTGGTTGATTTCGAAGAGCAGATAGCGAATAGCCTGGTTCTGACTCAAAGGTGCTTTACTAGTGTTGTTGTAGTTCAGGAAGGCTGGAATGAGCTTTTGCGCGTTGAGATTAGATTGCCGGGTCATGATTTCGACAAGCTCCACAGGGACCTGGGCCATCAGTACGCTGCTGTACTTGTAGAATATCTCCGGGTCGGTTTGTTTCTTGAGTACAGCTAGCGACTCCTGCCAACGCTCTCGCTGCACCCAGTATGAGAGAACATAGTTGTAGTCGTTAACAACTGTAGCAAAGTACAAGAGCTCTTCTTCCCTGCCATGACTGCTGATAATATCGTATGCTGTCTTGCGGTCCAAGTCTGTCTTGTATCTCGCGGCGAAATCTTGATATTCTTTCCTGATAACTGAGAGATGGTCCTGAGTTTCGGCGGTGTTCATACTCTCCGAGAGTTCAGCTTTTGTGGTAATGGTGTCGTCAAGGATATTGAGTTTGGCCATGTATAGCTCAATCAACCAAGTAGCCACCATGGTTCGTTGCATCAAGGAAGTCTTCTTCAAAGTCGACAGCTTCATAGATAAGTACTTTCGAAGTGCATCCTGCTCTCCCTGGTCGATGAAAGTAAGAGCAACTTGCTCGAAAGGTTTCGTGCTTCGCCCATAGACAGCAGCAGCTTCCATGTATTGGCCTTTACCTATTAGATAATCTCCGGACGCTGTTGCGACAGCATCCTTCTGTTGTAATGTCTTGGCGAACTGCGACGCAGCCTCAAACTGTTGCGACCGAAGCATGATCTTCCAGACGTCCCTGGCCTCATCTGTTATGACGATTTCGAAGATTTCTCGCGTGGTGAAGAGCCAGTAGGTGTTTGACTTGATATCAGCGACAAGGCTAAGCGCACTTTGCCCGGGCTCGAGGACGACCTGGTCGAACACCACTGTATCATCGAGACGGTTGATGACCACGATCCTTCCTTCTACAAGCTGCAAGACATGCCACTGGCTGAGTATCATAGAGCTCACTGCATCATGTGTCCTCCTAGTTCGGCCGCTAGCTGTCTGCGACGCCGGAATCTGCGATCTAGGCAGCAGCTTCGAGTCTGCGAGGACCTTGGCTCCAAGATCGGGAGTATCCTGCGACAGGTATAGTTTGCCGTGCAACACGCCCTGAGATGTCAGCCAGCCAAATATTCGTTCGCTGTTAAGACGCTCTTGGTCTGGTGTCTGCTGATTCTCGGGAGAAACGGCGAGGAGCGACGTGGCAGTGGGGGATACGTTTGGCAGTTCGTGCACGGTTGCAGATTCACTCTCAAAGAGTTTGGAGAAGATGGAGCCGCTGCCTTCATGTGCATTGCGCCCAACTCTTCCAGCGAATTGTACAAGCGTCGATGGTGTCGCTATGACGACTCGTCGCAAGTCTTGCCGCCCAGGTATTATGTCTGTCCATAAGCCAGTAACAGGGCCGTCGGTGGTACTGTATACGCTCTTCAAGTAGCGTTCCTCCCTTCTGTAGAACTCAGACGAAGGCTCGATGAAGACCTCGTAAACATTGCCGTCGGACGCTCCCACCAGTATCTCCCGAGTAGAGGCTGTTGGCTGTGAGGGATTCCACGATATGCTGTCTATGACAACACCTTTCAGCCGTGAGAGGACCTTTGGTGTTCGCGATTGGGTATGGAGGTAATAGTTCTCGGCAAGGGTGGTTGTTACGACCAAATGCGAAGCCGATGGATCCAGAAAAAGGCGTTTGATGACACCAATCTCTGAAGGCTTCTTCGGCAAATCGATATCTGTATGTTAGTTAGCAATCGTCCAGCGAGCCTCACACAGTGCACGTATGATCCACGAACCGTCTATGTCTGCTGGGCTATCCAGGTCGATACGCAAGATGCGCCCAGTCGAGAGGGCTAGAACGAGGACGTTGTTGGCGACTGCAGCTGCGACAAAGTCCGAGGATATAGAGAATTGCAGCGATACGCGCTCTATGTTGAACATGGGCAGCGACGCATCGTCCTGCGCATTGCTCGTGCTGGGCGGCGCATAGCCGCTCGACGTGTCGTAGGCCATGCAGGGCTTGGGTTTAGGTCGACGCTATCGTGACGATTTATTCATCTTCTTTGCGTATGTATGCAGCTTCGACTACTTGTCAATCTTCAAAAGCTGTTCCGTTGTACGTCACGAACGCATTGCGGTGTTGTCGGCGGTGACGCCTGAGCTCTACGTCTAGGCTAAGGAGGGAGATGGGTCGACGATGGTTCGGTGATGGATCGGGCGGATTCACTCTCCGACCCGCACTTGAATTCAACTTAAAGTGCAAGCCAAGCCAACGCAGGAACCAAGATCACAAGCGAACATAACAAGTGAAATTGCAGGTAACTATAGATGCTGGCGGCTAGATACTATTCCGTTTGCCAATGGTTGCTGAGTCTTACGGCATGTTCGCAGCTGGTTTCTGCACATTGTTTTTAGATCATCGAGCAGCCGCAATGGTTCTGCGTAAAGACTGCACAGCCTCAATCTAGTCGCGCAGTCTCCTCTCTTTGGGAAGGCGTGAATTTGTAATCTACTGACTACTCTAGCGTTCGTTGCTGACACAGAAGTCCTTTCGATAGGATTTTCTTGCAGGTGCTGTTGTTGCGTGCTTCGACCATCTCATGCAGCGCTCAGTAGATGGAATATGTCTGACCGTCAGTGTCTTGTTGTGGCTCGAGAAAAGTCACCACATCGATTGCAATATCAACAAGTCACATTAGGTAGTACCGAAGGAGCACCACCCCTGCAAGTGAGCGTTCAGGCGTCCCGCATACGGCCTCGGCAAGAGACTGATAAACACACGAAGCCGCGTCCTCGATTTGGGCAGGACGCGGACCTCCAATTCAAGCCTCCACGGGGCTCATGATCACTCTGCAACCACTGCGCCTCCAATTCCGGACAACATATGAACGAACGAACCCGAACATAGTTTTGCGATGGGAATGAAGGCGGATGATGATGTGAGCGTGTCAGTCCACTCAGTCGAGGGTCCATGGACGCCTAATGCCTCGAGAACATGGGGAAACGACGTCGTTGAGACGAGAAGCAAGAGCTGGAACTGGGCTTGGACTTGGCGATTTCGCAGCAAGTGGTCATCAGTATGCAGGACAACGGAACAGGTCGTGACGCCCATGATATGCTCCACTGGCGACATCATACGGCCACACCTCAACGCAACTTGGTCCTTCACTCGCTGCAACGTCTGGCCCTTTGTGTTACACGTTCTCAGAGCAAAGAAACAATGGTTTGCACTGTTGCTCTTTTCATGCTTTGGAGTCGTGCCTATGACCTTGCTTGGCTACTACACACCACGACCCGGTATGTCTTCTGGTACCTGGCCGCCTTATTACAAGGTTTTCGCTGCCAA